AGGGAAGATGGTAGCCAAGATTGGTAATCTTGATACCTGTATAAGATACTTTGGATACGTTAGCCGTTGGGGTGCAGACGTTCAACAACGGCTATCATCTGATGGACAAACAGACGACTTTCGACTATAACCTTGCACTCCAGACTCAAATTTCAAACCAGTGTAACATGACATATCGCATATGCTGTGTGTCAGTAGTTCAGTAGAGTAGCTCCCTAATTTATTGTACTGTATTTCATTGTTGGATAGTTGATAGTGGCCGGTTGGTGCAAGATGAAAGAGAAGAAAGAGTACCGGTATGTTGATGAGTCAGTTCGTCTGTCTGTTCGCAGTCACGTTGAGATTGCAACAAATACTAAGATCCTATGATAATACGATACTCAAACAATTAAAACAAAGCTAATAGGAAATAATGTTGAGCACAGAGCCCACTGTGAAGGCACAAGCCATTGTCGCCTGTTTGCTGAGCTATGTCTCGATTGCGTGCATGTATGTGTCAGCTCGTAACGGAGATCTGGCGGAGCCTCTAACCATCAGGGAAGCTGCGAAGAGACATCAGGGAGCTTGGATGGAGCAGGTAGTAAATGAACCACTGGCAGAAGTGGAGACTTCTTGAATATGGAAGGCGGATATCAGACGAAGGAGGAAATTGGTGTGTACGGCTCACGGGTGTCAAGTAATTTTTTGGAATCAGGATGCGGTGTTGAATGGGAATATTCTCAAGTAACATGTTCTGATGGTGCCGGTAGGACAGGTCACACATTCAACACTAATGTTAGTTATGCCAAAATCTTGTCTCAAACCAAAGAGTATAAGTGTAATTACGAGGTCAAGACATACTACAAGTGGGAGTACAGTGTAAACGTTGGTTTAGTGTGCAATGCGTATCATGCTGGTAACGTGGAGGGGCAGTGTGAGGCATTTGCAGCAGAGCAGTGGGCGAAAAGTGAGGGAACGACAGTGCAGAGTTGGCTCGTAGAAAACTGTGAGGACATGAGAGGTCGTGCTTTAGCTTGGGAAGGTGAAGGTTGTGTAATTAACGACTCTTGCAGATGTTGTAAGGATGCAAACAGTTGTATTTGTTCCTCGACATGGACAATATCAGCGCTTGTGGTAGGGAATACAGGAAACTTCCAATTTTACACAGACTCAACGGCACTTTCTGGCACGCATTGGCAGGATACAAGGCCGCATTTACTAATGCACGATTCTTTTTGGATGAAAGAACACCACAGTACTTTGGGACTAGTAATGAATGATTGTCACGGTGGTATGGATGGGAAACCAGGGTTGGTGTACAACAAGTGGTGGTATGCGGACACGCCAGTAGACGAGAATACAGACACGTTACAGAGCGTACACGGGTCGCTTGGAATCGAAACGGGGTGGTGCAAAGGTAGTAGTGCATACAATACCCGCAGGTCCCACTTTCGTGCTGTATACAGTGGCTGGATAGGGTTTGCTTGTGTTGAGTTCAATGGCAATCTCCCTCAAGGTTGCGATTGTAGCTATGGGGAGCGCGTGGTACTGAGTGACTGTGCTGGTGTCACTCACACCGACCAGTTCGTAGATCAGTACTGGGCGTTCAACGCTGCAAGCTTAACAGACTGTCGGATCGATGTTAGAAAAGTTCGCGGCCCCAACATACTGAAAGGTACTCTGGATGTTGGCGGACCAGATTCGGACTGTTATCAAGATACTACTATGAATTGGCCAGGTAGTGTGCCGGCATGCGCCGGCGACCATAATCCATAGTAGGGTATTGCAACTATGCCCTGTGCACGCGCCTTATACGTGGAGAAATCCATAGGGGGAGTGTGAGCAAATTGCAAGGTAAGTGATAGGGAAACAGGATCACAGACCCAATGGCGCCGGCCGTCAAACGAGTAACGTCATACGGCCTGTTTACATATCTCACTATGTGTTAGAATGTAACCACTTTTAAAATTAGCCGCAATGAGAATATGAATTAATGCAACCACCACCACCACACTTGTGAAAGCAATATCAATTTAATCTGTTATAGCTGACTGTTCTGTTTGTCTGCAAAGTGGCCCGTCTTCTTTTCCCTGGGCAGCTTTGCTTACTACTTTGTGGGTGTGCATGTGAAAACGGAGATGTACGGTGGGGTTTGGTGTTCTTGTGTCAACAATTAAGCTATTTATTTAGTATACATTTTTGTGTAGCTCCGTGTCGCACCATGTCGCAGTTGACCATATAAATTCATGTTCCTTTTTCGGCCAACTCAATTGACCAAATGTTCGACTCAGTCGACTTTCTATTTCTTCTATTTTAGCCTTTACGGCACGTTATGTCTGCTTTTTGCACTGTTTGCAGACCCTACCCTGTACATTATATTCTTGTTTAATTGGAAGGTGGGCAAACTCGTACAGATGGAGTCAGGGCAAGAAGTGGGGCAACAGTGGGAGTAGAGACTCGTAAGGTAGCTGCAACAACTTCGGTAGGACTGGAAACCCTGGGCATAATAGGAGGTGGATGTGAAATCATGCGCTATGCATAGCCCAAGATGAAGCTAACATTCTCCACCCAAGAAAATGGGGAGACTGTTCCAAAAGACTTGAGAGACCCACCAGTGGTGCTCTATGGACCCCACCATCAGTGAAAGGGGCTCCTTGACACTCACCCGGTGGATCTTTTGGTAATCAAGAAAGGCCACTACACACGACCAAGTGGCGGCCCCAAGCAAGAACCACGGGAGGACATGGTGGATTCTGTGCCTCCCAAACACAGACCAAACGTTATCATTGAATCCTGGCGCTCTGACCCAACTTTGTGGCAATACGGACCAATGAGCAAACCTACAACTACTAGATGGAGAGAAGCGGGCTATGTTAGAATAAAGCAAAATGTGCTCTATCGTGAGTGCTATTAGCGCTCAGAACAAACTCTCTGCAATAATAATAATAACTGAGACATTAATCGTTAATATGCTACTCTGTGGGCATTCGATTGCCGTTGAAATATTCGGCTGTAAAGGTCAAGTACTGTGCAGCAGTGAGTCAACAACAAGTTTGAACCATGTGAGGCATCTGTATATACAGAAGTTGCTCAAGTCTTCCAAAGGGGTAAAGACTTCTCCCGCGACATGGCGGGGTGAATTCGGGGCATGTAAGAGCCCGCAAAAAGTTGGTCAGGGTCCAGGGGAAAAAATAGTCCGCAGACTGCGGCGTTGTGCTTTCATGGAGCGACGGAAATCTCTGCGTTCCTGACGAAGCAACTTAAGCCACTCTTCCTTGTCCACCAATGACTTGCGAAGGACTCGCCGACGGCTTATTAGCATCGGTTGAATTTCCTTAGGCAAGTCATCGGGACCCATATCAAACTGTGAGTGAATCCCCTCATTGACAGTACTGTGACGTTCACGTAGTTGAATGTTATCATCCCAATGTTGAACGGAGTTCCGTTGCTCCCACATGTAGAAGTCGATCGAGATCAGCTGTTGTGAGAGGCGGGACGCCCAAAGAGAGACAGATCGTCGACATCTGATCTCGTCATAATGTTGTTGTTGGAGCGGAAGCCAAGATGAGGCTATGCGTCCCTCCAAAAGGCCTTGGGACCCAATCACCTGCTGAGCCAAGAAGGCCGGCCGAACCGAAGGAGAGATGGACCTTAGAGGGGGCGTAGTAGGTGTGCGAACGCCGTGAAGAAGCTGTAGGATCGCGAGTTTGATGGAAGGGCTCGTCAATTGCAGGTCCATCCACGCGGAGAAGGCTGCAATGCGACGGTCCCATTCAGCTGTTGCCGAAGCAGCGCGGCAACGGGGAACGTGAAGATGATCCTCGAAGTTGCCACAGCGTGGGCAAGCTGCTGGTGTCTCCAGACCCCATAGAACTTTAAATTTGCCTGTGCCGCACATGCCCACACAATGTTTAGTAGACCACCGTTGTAGTCCTGCAGGGAGGGAACGCATGGCGCGACCCAATGTGTCCCAGGCTATCTCAGACTCGGCTTCAGCGGAGATAGTACCTTTGTCCCTCCAGCGGGAGCGTAGGGCCGGAAGAGTCACACACTCTTGGATGAACTGAGGATCAAGGCGTGACTGTTTGGTGTCGGCCACGTACATTGCCGCAAGTTCAGTGAAAAAACGAGGGTTCGGGGCTATAAGATGATTGGCCGTCTCAAGTTCCTTACGGTACTCCACCG